AGCAGGGTCGTCAGGAGCGGATGAGCGTTCGAGAGTGAAAAAAAAAAATAGGTGATGTTCTCATTCTCTCTTCTAATCATAGTAAAACATTATTTTCCAGTCACAAATCTATAAAATAGATGTCTGTCTGCCCTTCTGAGGTTGGAGGCAAGCCTCATTAAAAATTTGCTGGGTAACTGTGCTTTGTTCAGGGATGCTGTTAAGCAGGTTGGGGGTAATGGAGAGGGAGGGGTGGGGGGGAGCTAGGGAGGGTGGTGGGGGCTAGGGAAGGTGGTGGGGGACTATGGAAGGTAATTACCTAAGTGTAATTACCTAAGTGTAGTTACAGGATGAGAGCTACGCTTGTGGTGTCCCGTCTTCCCAGCACTCTGTCATATAACGCTTTGAAACTACAGTACTGACGGTCTTGGCCTCCACCACCTTCTCCCCTAACTTGTTCCAACTGTCTACCACTCTGTTTGCGAAAGTGAATTTTCTTATATTTCTTCGGCATCTGTGTTTAGCTAGTTTATATCTATACCTGGTTGATACCTGGTTGATGGGGTTCTGGGAGTTCTTCTACTCCCCAAGCCCGGCCCGAGGCCAGGCTCGACTTGTGAGAGTTTGGTCCACCAGGCTGTTGCTTGGAGCGGCCCGCAGGGCCACGTACCCACCACAGCCCGGCTGATCCGGAACTTCTCTTAGAAAACCGTCCAGTTTTCTCTTGAAGATGTCCACGGTTGTTCCGGCAATATTTCTTATGCTCGCTGGGAGGACGTTGAACAACCGCGGACCCCTGATGTTTATACAGTGCTCTCTGATTGTGCCTATGGCACCTCTGCTCTTCACTGGTTCAATCTTGCATTTTCTTCCATATCGTTCACTCCAGTACGTTGTTATTTTACTGTGTAGATTTGGGACCTGACCCTCCAGTATTTTCCATGTGTATATTATTTGGTATCTCTCTCGTCTCCTTTCTAGAGAGTACATTTGGAGAGCTTTGAGACGATCCCAATAATTTAGGTGTTTTATCTCGTCTATGCGTGCCGTATATGTTCTCTGTATTCCCTCTATTTCAGCAATCTCTCCTGCTCTGAAGGGGGAAGTGAGTACTGAGCAGTACTCGAGACGGGACAGCACAAGTGACTTGAAGAGTACAACCATTGTGATGGGATCCCTGGATTTGAAAGTTCTCGTAATCCATCCGATCATTTTTCTGGCTGACGCGATATTTGCTTGGTTATGCTCCCTAAACGTTAGATCGTCGGACATCATTATTCCCAAATCCTTGACAAGCTGTTTTTCTACTATGGGAAGATTCGATTGTGTTTTGTACCCTGTATTATGTTTCAGATCCTCATTTTTGCCGTACCTGAGTACCTGAAATTTATCACTGTTAAACATCATGTTATTTTCTGCTGCCCAATCAAAAACTTTGTTGACATCTGCTTGTAGTTTTTCAATGTCTTCAGCAGAGGTAATTTTCATGCTGATTTTTGTGTCATCTGCAAAGGACGACACGAAGCTGTGGCGTGTATTTTTGTCTATATCAGATATGAGAATAAGGAACAGTAGCGGTGCAAGGACTGTACCTTGAGGTACAGAGCTTTTAACATCGCTTGGACTCGATTTTATCTGATTGACTGTTACTCTTTGTGTTCTGTTCGACAGGAAATTGAGTATCCAGCGTCCTACTTTTCCAGTTATTCCCATTGACCTCATTTTGTGAGCTATCACCCCATGGTCACATTTGTCGAACGCCTTTGCAAAGTCTGTGTATACAACATCTGCATTTTGCTTTTCTTCTAGGGCTTCTGTGATTTTGTCATAGTGGTTGAGTAACTGTGACAGACAGGATCTTCCCGCTCTAAATCCATGTTGTCCTGGATTGTGCAATTCATTGTTTTCCATAAAACTAGAAATTTGATTCCTAATCACTCTTTCAAACACTTTTATTATGTGTGATGTTATGTATGTGTGATGATTATGTGTGGGTCATATTCTATGACCTCTTGTTCTTAAAGTTCCAGGTCTCGGAAAATCCTCCCTATCGATTTTATCAATTCCTGTTACTATTTTGTATGTAGTGATCATATCACCTCTTTTTTCTTCTGTCTTCTAGTTTTGGCATATTTAATGCCTCTAACCTCTCCTCGTAGCTCTTGCCCTTCAGTTCTGGGAGCCACTTAGTAGCATGTCTTTGCACCTTTTCCAGTTTGTTGATGTGCTTCTGTGTGTGGTGTGTGATTGGTGCTCACCTATCAGTTACTTTGGGGAGTGAGATCTAGCTCTTTATGCCCCACTTTTGATGATAAAAATAATCATAACAAACACTCAGTTTGGGATGAAAACCTAGGATTACTCAGAATACCTTAACACTGCCACCATCTATGCTAATTGTGGGGGTAATTAGGCTAAATGACTTGGGAAAAGATCAGTCAATTAGTATCGGATTAGCTGGAATTTTATCATTAATAATTTGGAAGGAGGGATGGAATTACTTCAAAACTGCTTACTCGAGACAAAGGGAATATTTAATCTAATAGGATCTTTAGAGGATCACAGGAATTTCCTGTGAAAGATCACACAGAATGCTTGGGATGTGCAAGTGTGCCTAAATCTAACCTAAAATGTTGGTAAAATTCAAGAATGTGAGTCAGGAAGCTTGACTTGCTGCTGAGAATGTGGTAAGCCTAAGGATCAGTGTGGTTTATCCACACTAATCCACTCACAAGCCACATAACTCTGACATTTCCCACCTCAAAACTTGATATAAAAGTACTTTCCTATGCAACTCAAAATGTGTCTCCAATACTACACAAATGAAGGACTCCCTGCATAATGCATTAAAAGATCTGTGCTGTATTAGAGAGTCATGCATGTTCAGACATATTTACCTTTTAATATTAATAGAATACAAGCCTGCAGAACTTGAAAGGCTTTGCTATTAAATTGTATATATACAGTACTGTATATTTTGTGAGTGTCTTCTAATAGAGCTCCATTATGGAAGGTTTTCAATGTAATTTAACAAGTATTCTATTACTTCAGAGCAGCATTTGTGTTTATTTAAAAGTCATTACATATTTATGTTCTTCAGTATATTTTCAAGAAATATATTTTTTCCAAACAAAATTTAGATGGATTTGAAGAAAGAAGTAACACTGGAAGAAGTTGATCCAGATTGTGAAATGAAAGAGAGGCCAAACATTAAGGTAAAAGAGGAAGATTGTGATGCAGAGTTCATTGATGTAGATGGAAATGAAAGTGAAGTGCCACCAGATGAGAGCCACTAGAGGATCCTCTGTGGATCACTCTTCACCAAGACCACCACCTCTGACACCATGCTCAAGGCTCATCCACCTACATCAAAACACAAAAAAAAAAAACACACCACACACTTGGTCCGGGAGACATCTCCCGACACGCAGGGTGCAGTTGCACCTCCACAGATCTCCAGTATCATCTATTGATGCTGGAGGTGGCTCAAAGGGGCCACCACTTATCGGCTATTCGTGCCCAAGCCACCTTTTCGATGGTTTAATCGTCATCTTGGACACATTCATGGGAGACATCTCCCGTCACGCAGAGTGCACTTGCGCCTCCACAGATCTCCAGTATCAGCACTTGATACTGGTGATGGCTCGAAAGGGCCACCACTTCCGAGCTATTCATGCCCGTGCCATCTTTTGGGTGGCTTCATCTTCATCTTCTTCATCTGTTTAAAACACGGGAGACATCTCCCGTCACGCTGGGTGCAGAAGGACCTCCACAGATCTCCAGTATCATCAATTGATGCTGGTGATGGCTCAGGAGGGCCACCGCTTACCAATTCGTGCCCGTGCCACCTGTTGGGTGGCTTCATCTTCATCTTAACACATTCACAAGGGAGACATCTCCCATCATGCAGGGTGCATTCGCACCTCCACAGATCTCCAGTATCAGGTCTTGATACTGGTAATGGCTTAAAATGGCCACCACTTACGGGCTATTCATGCCTGTGCCACCTTTTGGGTGGCTTAATCTTCATCATCATCATCATCTTGATCAGTCACGGGAGACATGTCACGTCACGCAGGGTGCAGTCGCGCCTCCGCAGATCTCCAGTATCTTCTATTGATACTGGTAATGGCTCAAAAGGGCCACCACTTACGAGCTATTCATGCCCGTGCTACCTTTTGGGTGGCTTAATCTTCATCTTAACACATTCACAAAGGAGACATCTCCCGTCATGCAGGGTGCATTCGCACCTCCACAGATCTCCAGTATCAGCTTTTGATACTGGTAATGGCTCAAAAGGGCCACCACTTACGGGCTATTCATGCCCGTGCCACCTTTTGGGTGGCTTAATCTTCATCAATCAATCAATCATTAGAAACTCCACTTGGTCCGGGAGACATCTCCCGTCACGCAGGGTGCAGTCGCGCCTCCAAAGATCTCCAGTATCATCTATTGATACTGGTGATGGCTCAAAAGGGCCACCACTTACGAGCTAATCATGCCCGTGCCACCGTTTGGGTGGCTTCATCTTCATCTTAACACATTCACAAGGGAGACATCTCCCGTCACGCAGGGTGCAGTCGCGCCTCCACAGATCTCCAGTATCATCAATTGATACTGGTGATGGCTCAAAAGGGCTACCACTTACGAGCTAATCATGCCCGTGCCACCGTTTGGGTGGCTTCATCTTCATCTTAACACATTCACAAGGGAGACATCTCCCGTCACGCAGGGTGCAGTCGCGCCTCCACAGATCTCCAGTATCATCTATTGATACTGGTAATGGCTCAAAAGGGCCACCACTTACGAGCTATTCATGCCCGTGCCACCTTTTGGGTGGCTTCATCTTCATCTTAACACATTCACAAAGGAGACATCCCGTCACGCAGGGTGCATTCGCACCTCCACAGATCTCCAGTATCAGCTCTTGATACTGGTAATGGCTCAAAAGGGCCACCACTTACGGGCTATTCATGCCCGTGCCACCTTTTGGGTGGCTTAATCTTTATCAATCAATCACATCAAAACAGGAAATAAAAGAAAGGTAAGAAGCTTTTACTTTAGAAGCTTTAGTAAGAAGAATTATTAAAAATAATTCCAGTTGTCAGGGACAAGTGGCCTATACTAAGACTTATTGAAGCCCCGTAGCTTGAACTAGCTAATAAAGTGAAGCTGTGTGTATAGTGCATGTAAGCAACATTGGTACCTTCCCAAAGTCATTGTCTGCAACAGGAAGCTTGCAATTTTTCAGGTTAACATTAACTGTTCAGCATGATAGATATTATTGTATAGAGCATCTCTACACACCATTTTATTTCAGAAAAAATGTCAAATTTTCAAGAGAAAAATTGTCGCCGCTCTCAAGCAACATCGGTCCGCGAAAGTGTTTTTAACATTCTTTAGGCCCGTGGAAACCCCTTGAAGGTCTGTGCCTCCTCTTCCTTCCCCATCTGGGTATGGTTCACACTGCTTCTGGTCTTTTCCCACTGGTTCTAGCTCTGAAGCATCTGAGGGTTTCAGAGTCTGGTCAGAGCTTAGCTTGGGGGTGTAGCTCAATCTTTTCTGGAGGTGGTCCCATCTGCATTGACAGAGGCAGTTGAGCTTTCTGGTTGTGTAGAGGTTTTGGGGCGCTCGTCTTCACAGTCGCTCATTTGCCCCGAGCCTTCTCCTTGGGAGGACACGTTCCTGTCTTGGGTGTTAGACGAGGGCTTCAGCTTCACTATGAAGCCTTCTGGGATTGAAGGAGAGCTCGATGAGTGCCTTTGCGTGCCTTTCAACCCATTATGCATTTTGGTTGTTTTCTCTATGGCGGGTCTTTTGTTACAGAGGGGGGGATAATTTTTTTGTATCCTCCCACTGTGTATAAGTTGGATTGCTCAGTGCTGTCCCTTTGGGTTTGGTTCAAAGTTGCATTTGTGTTCCTCAGATTCTTTGTTTATCCAGAGGTTTCCGTCCTCCTGTGCTGTACCTTTTGTGGCCCACATGGATTTGCTTTTGGAATGCATACTTCTTTTCCATGATGGACCTGGCCTCTTTCAAATATAGATCTGCCTCCTATTATTGGTTGCAATAAGAGGTTTCTGGTTTATCCTGGCTGGCTGACAACCCTCTCTTATCCTTGGGGGCTTGGCAGGGGTTCTGTCGGACCTACATGCTTGATTGATGGGAGATGAGCTCCGCTTTTCAGGTGTTTCTGAGTAGAGCTTCCTCTGCTTTGTTCCTGTCTGATTGCTCCAGCAGTTACCAAGGTAGTGGGCAAGTGGCAGCTCCATGTGCAGCTGCCTGTGCTGTCCAGAGCCCTTATTGTGGAAGACCTCAGGGTGTGTTTGCACCTGGTGGCAGTCCTCTGTGTCTGGGTTCTTGTGGAGAGGCTCTCTGAGCATCTTCATGAAGACGTGTTGTTGGGGTCTGCTCTGAGGGTGAAGGCCATGTAGTCTGTGGTTTCGGCCTTGGCAGCCTTGCCCAAGATGTTCACCCCTTTTCTTTGGGAGGTGTTGATGGCATTTTATTTGGCACACCTAAAGTGCTGACAAGCCATGTTGGCCCATTCCTTAGATTCACCTTGTATTTGGATGGGCTTCTGGGGTTCTTCTACTTCTCAAGCCCGGCCCAGGGCCAAGCTTGACTTGTGAGTGCTTAGTCCAACAGTCTGGTGCTTGAAGTGGCCCACAGGCCCACATATCCACTACAGCCCGGTTGGTCTGGTACGTCTGCCTACATTGTCTTTTCTCTGGGTAGGGTATGGCTCCAGGCATAGTACTGGTTTCTCCAGTTCCACCCATTCTACCATCGCTGGGACTGGTGAATCTGAGCCTCGCCCACTTTTCGTTGGCTGTTGTTTCGCCTGCTTCCCATTCTATCTTTTTTTCTGTGGGGAGCCCGTACGCCTCCCTGGAGCTATTGGGCCAATGTGTGATAAATAAGAATGGGGCATTAGACTATGGAGTTCAGCCTACTGGGGACCATGAACCAGAACCTGACCCCCCTATCCAGGTAAATAAGTACCTGGGAGTTAGACAGCTACTACTGGCTGCTTCTTGAGGATGTGTAATAAAAAGGAAACCTGGTCAAGGACCAGGCCGTGGGGACGCTAAGCCCCAAAATCATCTTAGGAGGTTGCTTTTGGAGCCGGCGTCGTCTGGTCGGCACGGTGATCGCTCTGTTCGTCGGTCAGCTTCTTGTAAGAGGCGTTGGTCCTTTCGCAGTTTGCCCTGTTGACGGGGCAATGGGGGGGGGGGAGGCTCGCTCTGTTTGCTCCCGCTTTTTCCATGATTCATGGGCGTTTTCGGTCGTGTCGTCCGGCCTGTGGTGGCGTTGCGCAGCTCCTTCCCCTTCGGGGCTGGTGGGGCAGGCTTCTTCCCCTGCGCTTTGTCGGGTCATCTCGGAGTGGGTGTGGTCGAAACAACCCTGTCCCTCAGGTGGGTTTCCTGACTGTTTCCAGTGCTGAAATGGGACTGTGCGGATCTGAGGGTCATTCTGGACTTGTCCCGTCTGAACCCTTGGATTCCTTGCCCCTCCTTTAGGATGACCACTCTGTCTCAGGTCCGGCTTCTTTTGGAGCCGGGTACCTGGATGGTTTCCCTGGACCTCAAGGACGCCTATTGGCACGTTCTTTTTCATCTGGGGTTCAGGGACTGGTTAGATTTCGTGTTGGGGCATCTGGCTTACCGCTTTCGTTGCCTTTCTTTTGGCTTGAATCTGTCACAATGCGTATTCATTTGTCTTACCCAGGTCGTGGTGACCTGTCTGCATCTGCTAGGGGTTCAGATCCTGGCCTACTTTGATGACTGGCAGTAGTAGGGGAGAGGGGGGGGGGTAGTGTGAGAGGGGAGAGTGTGTGTGAGAGGGGGAGTGTGTGTATTCACCTAATTGTGCTTATGGGGGTTGAGCTTTGGCTCTTTGGTCCCACCTCTCAACCGTCAATCAACTGATGTACAGATTCCTGAGCCTACTGGGCTCTGTCATATCTACATTTGAGACTGTGTATGGAGTCAGCCTCCACCACATCACTGCCTAGTGCATTCCATTTACTAACTACAGTACTGACACTGAAAAAGTTCTTTCTAATGTCTCTGTGGCTCATTTGGGTACTCAGCTTCCACCTGTGTCCCATTGTGCATGTGCCACCTGTGTTAAATAATCCATCCTTGTCCACCCTGTCAATTCCCCTGAGAATTTTGTATGTGGTGATCATGTCTCCCCTAGCTTTTCTGTCTTCCAGCGACGTGAGGTGCAGTTCACGTAGTCTGTCCTCATAACTCATGCCTCTGGGACTAGTCTAGTGGCATACCTCTGAACTTTTTCTAGCTTCGTCTTGTGCTTGACTAGATACAGGCTCCATGCTGGGGCCGCATACTCCAGGATTGGCCTCACACAGGATTGTGTGAGAGGGGGAGAGTGTGTGAGGTGTGAGAGGGGGAGTGTGTGTGAGGTGTGAGAGGGGGAGTGTGTGTGAGGTGTGAGAGGGGGAGAGTGTGTGAGGTGTGAGAGGGGGGGGATAGTGTGTGAGGTGTGAGAGGGGGAGAGGGGGGGGGATAGTGTGTGAGGTGTGAGAGGGGGAGAGGGGGGGGGGGATAGTGTGTGAGGTGTGAGAGGGGGAGAGTGGGGGAGAGTGTGTGAGGTGTGAGAGGGGGAGAGTGTGTGTGGAGGTGTGAGAGGGGGAGAGTGTGTGTGTGAGAGGGGGAGAGTGTGTGTGTGAGAGGGGGAGAGTGTGTGTGTGTGAGAGGGGGAGAGTGTGTGTGTGTGAGAGGGGGAGAGTGTGTGTGTGTGAGAGGGGGAGAGTGTGTGTGTGTGAGAGGGGGAGAGTGTGTGTGTGTGAGAGGGGGAGAGTGTGTGTGTGTGAGAGGGGGAGAGAGTGTGTGTGTGTGAGAGGGGGAGAGAGTGTGTGTGTGAGAGGGGGAGAGAGTGTGTGTGTGTGAGAGGGGGAGAGAGTGTGTGTGTGAGAAGGGGAGAGGGGGAGGGATAGTGTGTGAGGTGTGAGAGGGGGAGAGGTGGGGGATAGAGTGTGTGTGTGTGAGAGGGGGAGAGTTGTGTGTGTTAGAGGGCTAGAGGAAGACAGACTATGGATCACATATCTAAGAAAGGTCAATGGATTAAGACCGAAGCTGTTTAGCCAAATTAATAATTCCTGGAAAGAGGAATTATTCTTCGTCAGGCTTCTAGGATCAAGGTTACCGCTCTAGGGATAAGGTTAATCGGATTATACCTTCCTTGAGAGGCGTGGTGAAATGTTTGAGGCCATGGTTGGCTAAAGTCAGTCTGATTGTGGGAGCTGAACTGGCAAGTCCTCTGGATCTCCGTTTGTGGCAGCAGCGAAGTGTAGCAGACAGCTATGCGAGAACCTGATGTGATCTTAGTGACGAAGTTATGTCTGCAGTATGTGAGTATTGAATGAAAGACTAACCGGGTGTGGAGCGTTGTAGTAATCATTCCGTATTAGGGACTTAGGCGGAAGTTACGAGTGTGGGTGGTGACTGCGGAGGTCAAGTGATCTATGGGTATTGGAAGTGTATTTACCTAATAGAGTATGTTAATATGTTATTATTTGTCAGTCTATTCTTTGTAATTAAATGACAAAACCCGACGGCCTTTAAATACCTTCCATATGTTCATTCATTGTGTTCCAGTACAAACCTAGTGGTACGCCTCAAGGGTCTGGTGTGTGTAGGAGTATAGGTGGTAGTAACGGTTGCTGGGGCAAGGTGTTATGTGTTGTGTAATTGCTGTGTTCGGAATGAACCGTGGTTCAGCGTCACGACAGGAGTGTGTGAGGTGTGAGAGGGGGGATTGTGTGTGTGAGGGGGAAGAGAGTGTAAGAGGGGGAGAGAGTAGTGTGAGAAGGGGGGAAGAGAGTAGTGTGAGAGGGGGGGGAAGAGAGTAGTGTGAGAGGGGGGGAAGAGAGTAGTGTGAGAGGGGGGGAAGAGAGTAGTGTGAGAGGGGGGGAAGAGAGTAGTGTGAGAGGGGGGAAGAGAGTAGTGTGAGAGGGGGGGAAGAGAGTAGTGTGAGAGGGGGGGAAGAGAGTAGTGTGAGAGGGGGGGGAAGAGA